GTTTACGTACGCGACGATGATCTTTTTCTGTTACACGTTCTAGTATGTGATGATCTGCAAATGTGATATTTGAATATAATAGACCCGTTATTCTATATCAGACCCAAATTAGTTTCAATCATTTGTGATAAAATCGAATTTTGTGACATATCGAATGGAAACAGATACTGTATTGACAATCAGCCAATCGAATGAATAATTCTTAAGATACTAATCGATATCTGTGTTTTACGCAAGATTAATGGCCACGACCGAAAATTCCGTAATTTCTTTAAGCGAGCAGTTTCGTATAGGACAAGAGCTGTATAGTAAGATAGAGAATACAGAGCTTGCCTCAACTGATCAAAAATATCAGGTTAGGTTTTTTTTACATTATTAAAGGAAAGTATTTTTCCTAATTGTTTTTTTTTCTAGGAAGATGTAAGCAGTGCAATCGCATATTTTTCTGCTTGTGCAAAATTAGTTGATGCATTGGACCTTTTCAGTTCAAACGAAACTGTGGATGATATCAACACTACAGATTTAAAGTAAGGATTTCTAACATCGGCTCAACTCTTTCCTTGCTCTAAAGTTTTCTCGCATTACTAGATTCATTTTAGTTTATGCATATCTCGGAGATTTGATGACAAAACTTATCGGCGTAGATAGATTAGAATTGCTAAGCAAAGCTAAGGTTAAGTATAAACGCGTTTTTTATACGATCGAACCTCTCTATAATCATAGCGTCAGGATCACTGTTTTTTGTGCCTTAAAAAAAATGTGCTTATAAAATATTATGCTTATATAGAGAGGTTTTATATGATGTGCTTATAGAGGACTGTATATATATGTATTTATTATACATAATCCTTTTGCACGCATTAACTCTTTGGTATCATATTCTTCTATGAAGTGGTATTTCGAGCAATTTTTGCGAAACGTTGAATTGTATGAAATACTCGGCGAGGGGGTAATATCATTTTACTTATCTTTTTATTTATTATCTATCGTTAATAACTTTCTTGGATGCTGTCTTAATCAAGATAATAATTGCTAATTAACTTGTACATGTAAACAGGATAGGAGATTCGTCGAAGAACAATCAAATGGAATTGTCAAAGATGTAGCAAAAAAACGTATGGAAAAAATTGAACGCTACAAAAGAGAAAAAGAGACCAAGGCAAAACTGGAGGTAATACGTTATTTACTATGGTATCTTTTGAAAGAACAAATCTTTTTGTTTACCCACGCATTTTTAAACAGATGTTGCAAAAACAACTATTTTCGATTGGAGATGATGACAAAGAAGATATTAACCGCGAATACATTTTAACATTTATCGATCTCTTTATCCAAAAATCCATTGAACAATTGTTGTCGATTAAACAAGAGGCTGATTTGTTGAATCAAATGCGCAAAATGGAGGAGATAGGACAGAGCTCTTCCGTAGAGATGAGAGATGATAATAGGATAGAGACTGTTTCAAGAGATCACAATGGGCCGTTGTTATCGCAGGACGGACGTGTATGTATACATATATAACACTTTGAAAGTTGATCACATGATATGTCCCGTAAAGTCATTTTCAAGGCAAAGATCCAATTCAACTAGATTTGAAGAATTTATATAATTTAAAATTTTAGCCACTCCGCCCATTCGTTATTACAAGTCAACGTGAAGCAATAAAAGAACGGGTGTTTCGTCCAAGTTGGCGACTTCCCACAATGACAATCGATGAATATCTTGAACAAGAGGCACAACGAGGCAACATAATTCAAGGAGGAGGTGAAAAGTATGTTGAGCACAATGGATTGGATCTCTTGCAGTATAGGTTATACCTTCATTTTTTCTGTAGGTGTGATTAATAAGGGTGTGATGAATAAGAGCGTTATAAATGTATCGTGATAGAGGTCCAATCCGGATAAATCCGTCATCCGTTTATCCGTATCTGAATTATCCGGATAATTCAGATCGGATAAACAGATCCGATATCCGGATAATCCGTCTGATATTCGGATAATTATTCGAATATCAATAGTAAACAGATATCCGCTATCTGTTATCCGAGTATCCGATCCGAACTTTATTCGGATATCCGATAATTATTCGGATAAACGCTATCCGGATTTCGTGACTCAAGTAATGATACAAATTGCCAAAATTTTGCAATCGATTTAGTTGTCAACTTTTCGATTATTCGATTTTGTTGCCAAAAATTTTTCAATCGATTAGTTGCGATTAGTTGCGATTTTCGATTTGTAACACTAGACTCAAGTCCCGATGCATTTGAAACGCTCTTATTCATCACGCCAATTATTAGTCACATCTACAGAAAATGAAGGTACCTATACTGCAAGAGATCCAATGGATTTTAATAGTTCTAGCCTACTTAGCTTTATACTAACTTAGAAACATGTCTAACACAGAATCATGCATATATTGATTTAGGTCAAAGTCAAAGACTGAAGTAGATGATGATGAAAAAGCTATTGACGAAGAAACTTATAAAGCCCGAGAATGGGATGAATTTAAAGATTCCAATCCGCGCGGTTGGGGTAAGCTATATTGAATCCAAATGTGTGTTTTGATTCTATTTATGGTAACAAGAATTTTATTATCTAGGAAATCGTATGGGCAAAGGCTAATTCATTTTTAATCGCGTGTAATAATTTGTGTTTGCCACGTAACTCATTTACAGTGGTGTATGTTTAGCGGCTCGTCAATGGTTTAATAATCTGTCTGTTATTTGTTAAACATACAAGTTTAGATATTATCGATATGTTAATTCTATATGAATTTTTTTTTACAATCGTCATTCGTTCATGTGCAAATCTACATTGTAAAAATAAAAGTTTTTTGCGAAATTCATAAAATCAGATCGCAGAATTCCAACAATGGTAGTCATTCATTCACGTGACAAAACTTACATTATATTTTTATTAAATATCGATATACAGTTTAAAAAAGGTTTAAACATCGATAATTAATGTCTGAAACGTCCGAAATGGAGTTACTACCTGGCGCAAAAACCGAGTCTGGAAAGGAATTGCTTTCTGAAGGGAAATTTGAAACGTCTGAAAGAGAATCAATGTCAGCCACAGGTCTTCCTGAAAATAAAAAACGAATACATGACACAGATGACTATAGTTATACTCTTGATGACTCAAAAAGGCGAAGGAGAGAGGGTAATTTGCTAATCACGGTCGAAATTTTATTCAAAGGATTGATTATCGAACTACTCGTTAAGGCTCGCTAAATCTTATTTTGCTTATTCTTTTGAAGGATCTGAAACGCCTGAAACACAGTCTCCCAAATCAACAACAGCTTCAATTTCACCTACTGCAACATCAGAGAGAGACTCCACGACACCAACATACTCTTCTAATTATATGACATCCTCTTTTTACTCGCCACTAGCATCACTTTTTCCTAAATCCGGAATGTCTGCATTGCATCTAAATGAGTCACAAAAGACTGCTCTGGATAGAGCAAAGTCCTTTGCAAGAGATATACAAGCAACAGTAAGGACTTCTTAAACAAATATATTTAAGCATTCATTTTAATCAAATCAATCTAATAATTTAATTCTTTAGCTGCTAAAATCAGCTGGAAGAGATAGCTCACCACCACGTTTACCTTCTCTTTTTTTATCATCTAATCCTGGATTGGCTTCCGGAATAGATCCTCGTTCTCTTTCCGTTTTATCACGTATTTATGTTGGCTCGATAAATTTTGAACTTACCGAACAACATTTGCGCGTTGTATTCGGCCAATTCGGTTCAATCAAGAGTGTTAGTATGTCTTTAGATCCTCTCACCGGAAAACATAAAGGTTTTTGTTTCATTGAATTTGAAACACCGGAAGGTGCTTCTTTGGCTCTTGAATCTATGAACGGAGCCGAATTAGGTGGAAGGTAATTTCCAAAGCTTTATAATAAGTGTGTGCGAATTTTTTTTTTTATCCATCATTATTTATTTAGGCAGCTTAAAGTTGGGAGACCTAATAACTATACTGCTGCTACTGCCGCTGGTAAGTAAAATGTTTATATTTATTTCACGAATTGTCTGAAATGAGAATGTTATTGACCAAACAAATTCAGGTTTATTACCACCTCCAAAAACTCGAATATACGTTTCTAATGTTAACGAATATGTTAGTGAAGATGATTTGTTGAGTATCTTTGAGTCATTCGGTAAAATTATTCACTGTGCTCTTTTGGTAAGTCTTTAATTATAATATTATTAGCGAAGCCATTGTTTAACATACATATATATATATATTTGTTAATATTTTAGCCGGACCTTATAACAAGAAAGCACAAGGGATATGGGTAAGTAAATAAGCGTATCTTTATTGTATTCGGTGATACAGGATTCTATCTCTGCAACCAGACAATACCAAGTTGAATATGACTTTATTTTGGGAGTAAATGTAAACTTTAGAGTGATGGTGTCCCTTTCCGCTCACGCGTTGTGTGCATTTTTTTCTTCATTATACCCTTGCACCTTTTCTTGTATTTCACCTAATCTTCACAGACATTTGCCACCAAGCGGCATTTTCAATTATCAGAAGAAGCTCTCTGCATTGACTACCGGAATTCTTTGCTATATTTTTTCATATTTTAATTGTAAAATTAATAATTTCAAATATGGAAGTTGTGGGAAATTGCAAACTCACCATTATAATTTCATCTATGCACTCTATGCACTACATGCACTATTATTTTTTTTTCACTATTATCGATACTATTATACCATTTGCCGTTTGTTCGGCTTTTTTTTTGTTTATGTACAAATTTTACATAACCGCATACTCCCATAAATATATATATTCATACATCCCGCAGACAGACAATCAATCACTCCAGCATCGTTCAGTAATGAACTGTCCATACTTTCGTTGATATTGGCACCACCGCTTGGACCGTCGACATGGCTGTACTTCAAAATGCAATCCCTCCCAGCATTCCATATCTTTCAATGGCTTAGTATTAAGTACCTAAAATTTTTTAATAACCATCCCCACTTTTTCCTATTCGTTAATTTAGGTTCATTGAATTTTATGATGAATCCGCCGCTACTACAGCTGTTAGTTCTATGAACAATTTTGAATTAGGAGGTTTGATTTTACATGTTGGTAAGGCGGTGATTGGAGGTCCACTGAGCGAGGGTATGAAAGCAATCGAAAAACTACCCCCGCTTCCTGTTGGTGTAACCCCACCGCCTACTCTTGTAGCATCTCCTTCTGTGTCTGCTGCAGGTTTGTAATTTATTGAATTATATTTTAGAAGGTGTTTCCAGTTAATTTTAAACTCAAACTTAATAGCTGCGGCTGCTAAAGCTCAAAATGCTGCAGCGAAAATAGCAGCTGATTTAGCAGCTAGAGGGCAAGCTGCAGTTGAGTCCGTCGCACAAGAAGAGAATATGAGTATTAGCGCTAGTCAACGCTATGCGATTATGCAGAAATTAGCACGAGCTGAGGTATTTAATAAATGTTGTCTCAATATAATAAGAATTTTTTATCTAACATTATAAGCTGCATAAAGTCATCTCCAGTTGTGTGCATTCGTAATGCTGTTGCACCTTCAGAAGTTGACGAAACGCTTGAAGACGAATTTCAAGAAGAATGTAGTAATTACGGAGAAGTTTGCAAAGTGGTTGTTCATATTGATTCGGAAGAAGGCTTTGAAGGTGAACGAGGTTTGGTTAAAATATTTGTTCAATTTGAAGAAGGAGCCGGTAAGTGTTATAAAATTCAATTTTCCATGCTCTAATGATTTTTAGATTCGATGAATTTCACTTTTATGATCTGTATAGACGCAGTGAAAGCCAAAGAGAAATTAGATGGTCGATGGTTTGGAGGACGTCGTATAAATGCTACTTTATTCGATCTTAAAAAGTTTCAAACAGGAGATTACTCTAACTAACATTTTTTCTTTTAATATGCAATTCATTATCTCGCTTATAATTGTCCGTTTATTATATAAAATGCTAATACAATCACTAGCATAGTTTTGTAATATATTCGTAAAAAAATTTTTTTTTTTTACATAAAATTATGTGTTATTGTTGTTTATATTGATAGTGTTATTAAACATTGCTTAATCTTAGATGTTAACATATTGTAAATTTCCCATTTGCATTTTAATAAAAAAGTTTAATGTTACAAACAGTAAGAATTAACAATTATATGAATGTATTGTACATGTAAAATTATGAATAAAAATTATGCAACTGTTTTAACTTTTATATTTCTAAGTTAAAGCAGTAAAAATAGATAAACTTCAGTTAAATAACCTAAAAAAATAAAATAAAAATAATGATAGTAAACTCACATCTTCATTTTGCAGTTTCTTGTTTGGATCTATCGTGTTTCTTAAACCAAGTAGACCTTTGGATACCGCTTCAGTGGCTCCAATCATTGGTTTTAATACAGCAACCGGAACTGCACGAATTACAGCTTTCACTGTTCCTTGAGTTCCAGTCTTTTCATATACCTCCATTGGCACAGCAAAAATTGTGTGCGCTGCAGTACCGATATTTTGCCTCAAACTTTTAAAACCAATCTCTAGCCCTGTAGTAAGAAATACATAAATATTAATAATACCTTTATAAAAAAAAAATGTATTTTTAAATCTAGAAAATTTTACCTTCATTTAAATCTGCGGGTTGATTAGCATATTTGCTGATAAATTTCTTTTTACCTTCTTCATCACTATCAAACTCTTCATTATACATATTCGAGTTGTTATCATTGCTAGTTCCAGGTTGGCTCTCAAAAGAAAGTATTTCTTCTGCATGTTCAAGTAATATTTGAGTTCCAACAGCAAGTTTGGTACCATATTTAATTGCTTCCATGGTGGTAGCCTTTGCGAAAGATTGCGTTCCTCTCTGAAGACCTGCACATAAATAAATAGAATATACAATCAATCCTCAGATAATCTTAAATGTAATACTCACTTCACGAAATACAAATATAATAACAAACCTTTAATGATCCTTCCATCCTTCTTGTATTGTTCAATTGGTAGTAGAATAAGATCTGCAACTCCTGAGCCTATGTTTACCAAAGATCGTATTGGAGCAACACCAGACACAATATTAGGTACTTGAGTGCTAGTTATATGCGGTAGCCATGCAGCGCCTAGGTCTTCAAGTAAGCGCGATACACCTTTAACCTATTAAAAGGTACATAAAAGGTATATATTATATTAATGGAAAGCACCAAAAACGATGTCAAAACAGAAAAATATTCACCCCTGTTAATTTAAGGCCATGCAACGTCATTTCCGCAGCTTCAAGATGAAAAATATTCATCAACTCAACTAGATTGCCTTCTTTTAAACTAGAATAATCAATATGTTTTGGTTTATAATCCAATTTCATTACAACAGGTTGAATTTCGAAGAGTTCTTTAAACGTGTATGTTAAACAATTGATTAACAGATATTGCAATTATAATGTAAAAATATTAATGAAGTATATAACATACGGAAATATGTCTCGTCTTCAGAATGTTGGTGAGAAACATCGTTAGTAGGATTTTTGTAGGAGAAAAACTTAATCACAAAATTTAGTGCATCCTGGTCAATGTAAAATCTTAACGGTAAAAATTTAGCCTAAAAATTAATATAAACAATTAATTATTAATTAAATGGAATCGTGCAAATGCATGGAATATACGAAAATTACTGTAATAACCTTTAGTCTATACTCTTCAGCAGGATCAGTTGGTACAGGACGAACGCTCTTTAACTCTATTTTAACCATATTAGATTTATTTTCACGAGGATTTGTATCATTGTCTGGACGTAAGTGGGACAAGAACTTATGCCATGCAGATGTTTTAATGTTGTCGAGAATTTCTAGATCTCTAATAAGCAACAGTAATCGTGAAGCTAACAAATTATCTTTAGGAAACAAGTCAAATTCTAAATTAATCTTATCAAATTTAATGTCAAGTTTGCTTGTTTTTGAACGGCTGAACTTTGGTCGAGATGATCGATTTTTTTGTTCAGATCGTTTACCATCTCGAACACTTGAATTATCTGAATCAACTCGCGAAGCTTGACTAGAGGTATCGCTGTGGTCATCTGTCATATACTCAAATTCAGATGCTAGTTGTGACAATCCATTATGATCAGGATTCTTAAACGGAGAATCTACAAACAACAAATGATCAAATGGATTGGATAATTCTGGGCCCATTGGATTACGTGTTTCATCTGCAGAAGAACTAGTTGAATTTTTTGCATGCGCAAATGCTTCAGAGGCTTGATTTCTGGTTTGTTTCCAGTCAAAGCCGTCATATAGCTTCCACAATATGTTAAAATCACGAAGGCGGATTCTTGTTAAACTATTTGGTAGACTGTAAAGTAGTTTTTAGATGAGTAAAAGATAGACACATCACATTTATTAAATTACTTTATACTCACTCTTGTCTTACTTCCTCGAGTTCACTTGCACTCGGAACAGAGAAGTGATCCTCTATAAAGTTAAGAGGCTCTAAATCTAGTGAGTAATCTTCGTCATCTTGAGGTATTATAACTGAATCCTTTGTAACAGTTTGTTGAGAACTTGACGTTGAAACGGCATGCAATGACTGGTCTACCATGAAATCTGAAATAGAAAAGAAACGGTTATAAAAAAAAAAGTAGTTGCAATTGTAGAAATGACCTAAATATATTTAATACCATCACTGAAATCGTCGAACACGATCGCATTCTCAACAAAGTGAATATCTGATTCGGGTATTTCATCATTTTCCTCGATTGCATAGAAATCTTCCCGAAATTCCAAATTAGAATTAGAACTGCTACCAGATATTTTGGGTTTTAATGGCCTTTGCTGTGGTCGCTTGAAAGCTTCTTCATCAAGACTCGCTAATTTGCATTATTTAGACTTTATTAACACTTGTAAATATAAACAAAACCCATTATAGCAATCCATTAAAATAATTACCTAACATATTCTGATAATCAGACTCGTAAGAGTTTTCGTTGTAGTCATCTTTTGCATTGGTAGTCACATGATGAATTCTTTGTCTGAATAATTTTCATAATTATCAGCAAAGTCAATAGGAAGGTATCAAAAAAAACGTATATGCAGTTACCCTATTCCTCTTTCTGGAGTTTCTGCTTTAGGCGTTAATAGGCTAATCAGTGTCTGAAGAGTATCTACGCATGTCTCGATCGTGAGGTTTTCGTTTGTAAGTTCAAGCTAAACGTATTTGTTTCTTTAGTTACAAAAGAAATGATATAAGAAGAAATAATGAAGTGATCAAATGCCATACATATAGATGTGGATATATTTCTCCTTTATTAGTCTGCAGTATAATTTCGGCAAAATCTAAAGATGCGGCTTTTACAAAACCTACAGACTAACATTACAATACAACGTAAGCATATGAAGTATAGAGAAATAAAGTTTGCAAACATGTCTTACCTCCCAATACTTTTTCGCACTTAAAGGTAATGAACCTAATCGACGTTCATTAAGCGTTTTTACATCGTCAACAAGCATTAAATCTAAATTTTGAACGATTAATTTGGCTTTAAACATTGGTGAATCGGTTATGATGCTTGATGCCTATTTTTTTTTTAAGTAGATTGGTTTATAAATTATATTTAAGAGTTAGGTTTACTAAGTTTATTATGTTTATGAAAGGTTTTAACGTTGAAATTTACCTTCAGATTATCAAATACAATAATAATTCTTCCTGCATTATCGTAAGGATTGTAGTCAATTGAAGAATCGTTAACAGTGACGAACAACTTAGTATATTGATTAGGAAGATCCAAGCATGGCTCCTGAAGATAAACGTAACAATATATATAATAAAATAAGTATAAACATATATATCCATATTTTATTAGTTGCATGAAATTTTTATAATACCATCTCAGGCTCTTGCAAAAATGCAAGCATATCTTCGATCCATAGTGAACTTTTATTATGCCCTAAGGACACATTGTTTATTGATAAAGTCAAATTTGTTTCTTTCGTATTCACATCAATATCAAGCGAAATAAGCGCGATTAGAGAAATCATGGGACGGGTATTCTTTGCCTGCATATGTATATGATGTAAGATTATTTAGGTAAAAGATTTCTACAAAAAAATTTGCGAATGAATTGTTACCTTAACATTCTTATTTAATGTTTGACATAATATCTGTGTCTTTTCACGGCTGGAAGTATCCCAAAAATTAAATTGGTCATTATCCAAGACTACATACGTGTCATTCTAAAAAAGATCAAATTATTAAATTTATGACATTAAACTAGATAAAATAAAATTACGTAAAAAACATACTTTGCCTTCATGTTTGACTACCATAAAGAACCTAAAATCTGACATGTTAAGTTGATATGAACGTATTGACTGTGTATGATCAATTTTTTTCTCTGTCTCATGTAATATGATAACTTCGACTAAAATATATATGAAATACCAAATTAAAAATTATTGAAATAATGCACATAGATAAACAATTCTATAAATCTTACCATTAGTTATAAAAACAACCAATGATGCGAGACTTGGCCTTAAAGGTAATGTGTCATCCATGCGAGACCCTAGAATAGAGGCCTCAAGCCTCCTTTTTATTTCAGAATCTTCGGATTCATGCGAGTCAATTCCATATGTTTTATCTTGGTGAGATTTTGCCTCATATCCACCCATCACATTTACATGAGCGATCGGTGGTGTGGATGAAATTTCATTGTTGCCAGAATTATTATTCTTAGGTTGCCAAATTGATAAATCATTTAGCAGTATTTGAAATTTGTCAAATATTGATTTAGTTAAACGCACACGTATTAAAGGAAAATTACAATTTATGACAAAAAGCTACATGTAAAGAATATATAAGCACATAAATTGAATTAAAAATGTTAAAGGATTATTGATGAGGTCAAAATGTGCTTACTGAGCTTTCAATTGTTCTCTGTTTAAACATTAAAATCTCCTCTTCTTCATTTTCAACAGGCCAATTAGTCCGTTCTTCTTCAAATGTAGTAAATGTCTGTGAGAAAGGTGATGATCGAATACCATTTCCTATATATGACATTTTGTTTGCCACTGCGCTAGCAGGCCGGTATGTGATTTCGCAATTAGGAAATACAGTAATAGCCTGTGTTACAGATCGATGATGTGCTGATAGCATTTTTACAGCCTTTACTGCAAGGAAACACTTCGCGTCTGGCGCTATTGTTTAAAAAAAAAAACTATATTTAAAGGATTAACCGGCAAAAAAGATGAGTTGCATTCATCGATAAAATACCTTGGTGTTCTTTAATAAAGACGTTAATGCCATTACACTCAACCTTAATCCTATTTTGTTGTGGATCAACTATGTTTCCAACTGGTTCATTATGTTGTTGCATGCCGAAACTTGAAGAAAAAAGCGACTCATTTTGAAGTGCATTGACAGTAGAAACATTAATATTAATTATATCTGCAATGAGTAAATTTGAATGGATAATATAATTATCCACTATGCTCGGCGTATTCCTGTTGCCAATATCTGGACAATGAAGCCAAAGACGAATCAGCTGGCAATTAACTGCAAGACGTAATTTTTGGACAGAAGCATTCTGAAAAATATAAACATGCAACAAATAAGAAAATGAATTTTAAATGCGTTTATATGAGCGATGTAAAAAGCTAACCTCATGCATTCTTCGCGTGTCAAGATCATCAATTATAAGTTGACTGGAGGATTGTTCAGTAAAAGTATGTGTCGCTGAAGTTTCCGCTTCTGTAAATGAACCAGTGTCTCTTGCACTTGTAGAAAGTACATTTATATAATTTTCTAATCGATCAACTATTCTGAGATCAATGTGCATATGGAACGGTTCAAGTTCTACAATGATATTGGAGGTATTGGCATTGTGTACGCCAGAATTTGACAACGATCCTAATAGAATTAACACAAAATTAGAATTAACACAACTTAGAATTGGCACAAAATTAGAATAAATATAAAATGGAAATATTAAAGATTTGAGTGTTATACCTTCAGTTGAGGCATCACCGCTCTTTAATTTTATTTTGATGACCTCTTTTGAAGAATCATTCCCAATGAAACTAAATTTAGAACTTCTTTTATCAGATTTTCTCAAAATATTTTTATCTATATTTTTGTTTACAGGGAAACTAGGAAACTCTGTTTCTTCGGGATTGTAAGAGTTCAAAAGATGCGGATCAAAATATAAAATTTGGGTATACTTGTCAAAAGCAGGAAGTGTGGATTCAGGTTTCAGTGTACCCAACTTAGTTTTTGAATTTGCAGTTAACGGGTTTTTCAACCATTCAGATACTGAAAATTGCGAAATTGCAATATCCATTGCGAAACATAAGACATCATCAGCTTCTGGACTCTTTTGAAATCCCGATGAATGGCTTCCAATTGATGAACTGCTATTCCGCCTCTTATCCAATGATAATGCATCCGGATCCCGACGTTCAATCTGGCAAGCTAAATTGTGAATGTTAAATTTCAGATGATCCATATTTAAATGTTCAATAGATCGAGTGTCAAAAAATTTTCGTCCAATGTCAAAATCAGGTAATGAATCGTGGTATAATAAAAACAACTCAATTAAAGGTGTTTCGAGTTGAAATTTTATGTTAGATACACCAGAAGATATTGTGGGGTTAATTTGTGGACTCGTCATGGCGGGGAATGAGTTGGGAACAGTCGAAGGATGAAATAAATCAATAATCCATGCCATTTGGCTCGGAGTCAATACAGAAATTATTGATTTAATTGATCCCTCAACTATGAATGATTGTGTACTATTTGCTTGCTGTATAGCTTCTTGTGTGTAATGATATGAAGATGAAGGGTTGTTAAGATCAATTTGAATTGCTGGAGGAGCATCCGGACGCAATGTGACTCTAATCCTATTATCCTCTTCAGGACACGAAAGAATCATCGCCTCATAAAGTTTCTGGGGTAATAATTCATCGTTTTGAATATTATAGTCTTTTGTTCTATTTGAAGATTCAAAAACGTTTTCTTCTGGAATTTTTTGATTATCGGTTGGATTTAATTCAGACAACGCTTCTCTGATCCAAACACTTAACCCAGAAACAGTAATTGACTTTACTGTTTCGGAAAGCGCAGGCGGTAATGTTACACTTGCAGAACCAGAAGTGTTTGATTGGGCTGATTCATCCTCTAATCCAGGTGTTTCATCTCTAAAAGAAATAATTGGTATCTCTAAATCAAGGCAATATTCTTTAGAACACCCAACGTTATTTAAGTTTTTATTAGGAGAAACTGAAGAATGGTGAGATAGTCGAATACAAGTATCTTTAAAAATTATTTTTACATTCGACATGAGCTTATCAATTAATCTTGCCAAAATCTGGATGCCTTCAATACCAGTGTCTCCTTGTACAGGAGTTTGTTGACTTAAAGTTTCCGATTGTTCCAGTCCCCCACTTAAATCATAACCATCCTGTTGAAACATTGTACTCCCATGAACTGATTGAGAAATAGAATTACGAAGTTCTTCGTCCTCATCAGGAGGTATTTCATGACGAAGGAAATCTCCAGCAAAATGAATAGAAGAAGAAAGTATGTGAGAATCTTCAGGAGAAGCTTTTGCTAAAAAAAAAACAGATCATAAATATTCAGAACGGCCATAATCATTATTATATGTTTTACTTTGAATTCTAAAAAAAGGTACCGTTTCTTGGTTTGACATGCTCAGGAACGGCGGTGATCTGCAAATTATGAATCTCTAAAACGCAATCACAATTCCAAATATTTTTCCACGGAATTTTTGCGACGATTCCACCTATTCGGCCGTCGACGATTACGACTGGTAAATTAGCGATGAGATCATTTAAAACCTATGATCACAATAAGAGAAGGAAACAACCATTAATATAATTTATAATTGAAACAAGGTCCAGAACATATTTTTCAAACCAAAAAGTTATATAACAAAAAGTAAGTACCTCTACATTGAGTTGTAGTTCTTTTAACTGAATCAGCCCATTGCCCAGTTGAACTTCAAGATTATCAAGGTCTAGCTCCTCAGCTAAAAATTGACCTAATGCCCTTTTGAGTAAGAATTTAAGCAGTCTCTTCTGGATCGTCGCGGGAACATTGATACTCAAGCCCCAGTCACTAAACGGCCAACCTTTGTACATTGTTTCTTAGAGTGTAAAAGAAAAATTAAAAATAAAAAGTAAATATTAATCGTTCTTAACTGTCAACCAAGTCGATATATAAAAAATTGGCTTACTAAAGTCACATGATAATATTGCTATAAGGCACAGCATGGACGGCTGCGGCAAATAAACGTCATTAGGGTGTCCAGAATTCTGCACATACTGTAATTGTACAGATTTTTGCATCTAATCTGGCCAGCACTACCGATGTTGTTTAAGCCTTATATACGCATTATATTTTATTGGTCAATTGGCTTACGAAATCCTTATAATTATTTGATTGGTTAATTGCATATATACTTATTAATATTTTTAGTGAGTAGCAAATTAACTTATTTTATTTTATATGTCGTTATATCACAGTTTTTAATGATTACAATATTCCCATCAAAAATTTCTCCCAAGAATCCAGCAAATTCTACAAATACAGAATCATCGACCAATAGAAATAGACTGTTTAACTGCGGATTCTGCAATCTGGACAGCCTACACGACATGTAATAATAATAATTACAATATTCTGTATCCAGGATTGTCAGGTGGATTGGTAAATTACGGTATATAGTTTTTTTAACCATCAAATCACGTGATTTTATGTTACTTAAGAATAAATTTACCGAATGGCTTAAAAATTACGGTAATCTAAAATATGGATATGGACAATATGAACCATTGTTCATAGACATTTATGGACTATGTCCATATTGTCCATATTCCTAATGGACATAAAAATCAAACACGTGGGCTTGCTATTCCGAAATATTCTGGAAAGATCGAAAAATTTGGCAAAGGTATTGATGTCCAAGTCCAAATAAAATTTTTTTGGACATAGTCCAGTGCGATAGTATTTCTAATTTAACAGTAAGTTGTTAAATTAATAACATTTATATCGGCGGATTTGCGGAATTGGTCCTGAATTGATCCTAAACTGTATCTTCAAAGTTATCCGCAAAATGAAACCAAAATTTTGCAAACAAATATACGTACATATAAAGATAATTTAAGGGGTATTTATCCCTTAAATTATATGTATGTATATTTGTTTGCTACAAAATTTTGGTGGATAACTTTGAAGATACAATTTAGGACCAATTCCGTAAATCCGCCGATATGATTATTCGAAAATATCCACAATACACCCATAATCTGTAACAAAAAACATACACAGGGTTGAATAAATAAATATCAGGTAAATGAAGTATTAGTAACATATTAGCAATCCCAATACTTACTCTTCATATATTTAAATGGCTTTTTGCGATATCAAAATGTTTAAATTACCCATGTTTGATTTGCTATAGTAAAATTTATCTCATATCAAAAAACCCTGCAAGTGAATTCTTTAATACTTTACTAAATAGTATTTACAGCCTATTAAGACTGTCATCTTTTCTAAACCTTCTTCCTCTAGCTTTATAAGCAGAAAAATTCATAGTTTCTAACTGACTTATGAAAAAAAACTAACACTAAAAAGATAAAAAGAATAACAAAAAATAAAAATAAAAAAAACTGCCTAAGCAACAAGAAACCAAAAAAAAAACAAATAAAACAAAAAGAAAAAAGTAAAAAAAAACAATCTATAAAAGCACTATTATAACTCGTGCTAGATACAAGTTGTAAAAATTATATACTAAATTTAAATTCTTGTATATCTCTATTGTAAAATTAAGCTTTATTGTTAAAATTTTCTTCTGACTTTACTATTTAGTTTGGGTTAGTTCATTAATTAGAGTACCAATTGGTTCATCATGTGGTATAAGTTATTATTGCCAAAACAATTCTGTATTTATGTTCTACTTTGTTTATTTAAAAATAAAAAGTGTAAACAATGTTAGTCTTTTGGAAAGGGTAAGCTAAAATGTCTACTTTTTGTTGAGAATTTTGGTAAGAACAGCAAAATATAAGATAGAAAGAAAAACACTTAAAACTATATGAAAGAATGTGAATTTTTTTTTTTTACTAAAATCAATATTCATACTGAAGCCTACGCAGTATTTAGTCTTTTCGGTAAGTGATAAACTCTGAGCTTGTTAGCAAATAGCATATAAGAACTACTTCTAAATAACAAGTACCGTGTCTATAGTAAGTGATAAACTCTAAAGCTATTAGCAAAATAGTATATAAGAACTACCTCTAAATAATAGCTACTAATTTAGGGTCCCTTTTTCTACATCTTATATTCAAACTCTATAAGTTTTACACTAGTATACTATATTTTTCTTAATAAAAAGTTTTTGGAAAATTGTAGTTCAAATGATCATCAGAAAAAGTTGTCTTAAGTTTTTTGGTATAAATTAAATTAATTGATAATCTATTTGTCATCTAGAGGGGATCTGCAAAATTTTATAAGTAAAGTTTACTATTGACAGAAATATGATAAGCCTAAATCTAAAACTTTTTTTTTACTAAGACAATCAATTCTATCAATTAATTGAAAGTTGTAGAGCTCATCAAGATGCATCTAATGGTAGTAAGAGCATCAAAATCAGCCTAGTGGTTTTTGAAATATCTTTTTTTTTTTTTGGTATTAAGGTGATCTCTTTGGCTAAGAAAAACTTTTTATTAGAAATCAATAATACTGGTTACAACAAAGATACAACTAGTCACTGTGCTTTTGGCACCATCTACACTAAATGTCTGTATCTGCAGCCCAAACTAGAACTACCCATTTAAACCTTCTGATCTTCATTATATATACTATTTCATTCTAACCAAGAGACTACTATGATTACAGCTTGTTTTATGTAGATTTCGCATCCCGCCTTAGGACTTTTGTGAATTTATCCTGGGTTTGTACTGACTAATTACTAGCTTGCATTTTTTTGTGTAGCAAATACTACAGCTATCCTCAAGATAAACCTATTAGAGCTTTTTGTACCTCATTCTGGCCAGCTTAGTCCTCGCAGTCTTCAAAAATTCCACTTGCAATATAGCTTAGTAATTACTATGCTCTTATAAGGTTCACTTTTTATCTCGATACTTATATTCAGACTTTCTTTTTTCTGTCAATCCCTAACTAGTCCATCTCTTACTTCCAACCAGCAACTTGGAAGGTTTAACCCAGGCTTGGCTCTAGGTGTCTTTGGCTTATCTTATCTTGGTCCATATTTTCATAGTATATGTTCTTTTTCTCCAACTCAGAAGTTCTTAGTCCTTTGGCATACCTAGCCTATTTTTTTGGCATATGCCTTATGACTAGGGGTGGAGACATTAGAACATGAAATAACATACGTCATAGCCATATTTGAGTAATTACCCAAATTTTATATGACATATAAAGGTAATTACTCTTGATCTAAGCAATATCTCCACCTCTACTTATGACTCATATTTTCCAATTTGCAGGTTCACTAGGGTAGGGCCCCTGCTACCGGTTTTCCAAGTCAGTGACCCAGTTAGTATACACCATATACATCTGTCAATTTCTAGTTTTTCCAAATTGGCAGTTTAGTTAGTAAATTCCCCACTTAAGAATCTTTTGTTATTTGGTTCATCGGTTTTGGTCCTAACTTCCAAATTCAGTCTTTCTTGTAGTACTGTCAAAGGTTTTGGCTACTTCTTTACTCAGGGCTTCCAAATAAGTATTGATCATTCTGATTATCTGAATTTCATGTGCTAAAGCTCCTATTTTAGATAGTGTACTAAACAACTAATTAGCAAATAATTATACCGAACACAGGTCCATTTTTCAATATTGTTGTCCTGAGATTTGAACTCTAGACCTGCCGCTTGAGGGTAACAACTCTACCACTTCACTAAATCACTATACCCCTTCTTAAAATATCTTTAAAAAACATCTTGCATACATATAAAATTCTTTTTTTTAAAAAAATTTTATATGTATGCAAGAAAGATATTTCAAGAACCACTAGGCCGATTTTGATACTCTTATCATCATTAGATGTGTCTTGATAAACTCTACAATTTTCAATTAATTAACAAGATTAATTGTCTTAGTAAAAAAAAAAGTTTTAAATTTAGGCTTGCTACATTTCTGTCAATAGTAAACTTTATTTATAAAATTTTGCAGATCCCCTCTAGATAACAAATAAATTATCAATTAATATAAAAAAAAGTTTATATATTTTTATAAAATGCATTTATAGTGGTTTTGTATCTATTAATATTTTTTTAAATTAAAATTTTTAGCACAAATTTTTTATATTAGAGTTAAAAAGTTTAGAAAGAGTTTTGGAGAATATTAATAATTAAAAAGCTAGTTTTTAAAATAATGCAATATACGTGAAGGACCAAATTAATAATAGCCAGACCCAACTGTAAAAACTTTTTTTTTTTAATATTTGGGGTGTAGCTCCTGCCCCAGACTTTTATTAATACTTAAGTAAATTGATATATGATAGTGCCG